AGCCAAACCTTGTTATGCTCAAGTAACCGTTTTCTGTTTCGACAACTCTTTTTTCCAAAATCTTGCAAATTTATGTGTGAACACGTGAATTTTCTTTTTTAATTTTGATGTATTGATTTTCCTGTCTTGGAACCTGTTAACCATAAACTGGAATAGAGCTGCTGAGACACCTCTGCTAGTATCTCAATGGATATGGATAAATCTCCTAGCCTCAATGCAGCTAGATGGAACTACAACACTTTGAATCTTGTTGGGTCTCGAACTGTAACCTCCTATGTTGCGACACTTGATATGATCCTTAAGGCCTTATGACCCTTAAGGCCACAGTTGTTGCAATACATATTCGCGTACTGGCTCTGTTGCTTCCTTCTACCATCATCATCGAACCTTACCCTTCTCTGAAAGCTAGTGCTTCTACTGCGGCTATGATCTCTTGGATTGTAATAATTTCTGTTGTATTTATTCCTGTCGTAAGCCAATCTACGCCCTAAGCGCTGCATAACTGACGCCACCTGTTGACCATCAGTGTCGCTGCCGCTCGTGTATTCGCAAGTTCATAATTTGTAATGATTCTCTCAGCGTCTGCTAACGTTAACTTTTCCTCTTTTAACAATTTCTTCTATAAATTTTTATCGAAAACTCCTACCAAAATCCGATCTCTCATCGCTTTGTCCGTGTAATTACCAAAGTCACAAAGAGATGTTTGTAGTTTAAGGTCAAGATTAAAACTCTCAGTATTTTCATCTGCCCTCTGAACCCGTGTATTGAAGCATTGCATCACGTCAGAGTCAATTTTATCATAACGTGATTTAAGTTTTTGAATGATTTCAGAATAAGATAATTCTTTTGCTCTCTTTCCTGGAAACGACAACTTGATTTCCGAATAAATAGCTGGACCACTAAGGGTACGAAAAGTTGATCTTTTCCCATTATCATCAATTAATCATATCGTTCGGCCATTTTTCACAGAGATGGCGCTGTTCCGCTGGTAGGAAGTTATAAAAATCCCCATATATAATTTGAGAGAAGTGGGAATAATTCGCTTTCAGTGCAAGTTCAGGTCAAAAAAAGTGAACCACAACCTGAAGAAATTATTCAGGGACTTTGTCGTTCAGTTTTCCCCGGAATTTAATGCTAAACAAGCTACAATTAAATAAAAATGATTTTCCCCCATACACTTTTACCTGCTTTACTACCAGTTCCTAGAGAGCCAAAAAAAATCAAATTCGAGAGAGGAATTCTCCCTTACGAGCTCAATCTCTCAACATGCCATGTATTTTCATGACACTCGATTTGTGATTTCCCTTCCACAGATTACAAAATAGAGTACCTGTCACTACAAAACATGTCTGGTACCTCTATTTATGCATTTAGTTTATTATTTGAAGTCCCTCCTATTTTTCATATTCTGCACAAGAGATATTTTCTTGTCAAGCTTCTGCATTCATGTTCCATCAGATGTCACTGCTGTTATTTGCGGTGACATCTATCGGAAACTACACACAATCTGTTTTCCTATAATTAATCATTTTGTTCGACAATTTTCCACAGAGATGGCGCTGTTCCGCTGGTAGGAAGTGATAAAAATCCCCATATAAAAATTGAGAGAAGTGGGAATAATTCGCTTTCGGTGCATATTCAGGTCAAAAAAAAGTGAACGGCAACCTAAAGAAATTAGTCAGGGGCTTTGTCGCTCAGTTTTTCCCCGGGAATAAATGCTAAACAAGCTACAATTAAATAAAAATGATTTTTCCCCCTACAATTTTACCTGCTTTACTACCAGTCCCCAGAGAGCCAAAAAATTTCAAATTTGAGAGAGAAATTCTTTCTCACGAGCTCAATCTCTGAACATGCCATGTGTTTTGTTGACACTCGATTTGTGATTTCCCTTTCACAGATTACAAAATAGAGTACCTGACACTACAAAACATGTCTGTTACCTCTATATATGCATTTGCTTTAACACTTGAAGTCCCTCCTTTTTTACATATTCTGCGCAAAAGATTCTTTATGCCCCGCCCCATACATAAAATTCGGCGGGAAATTCTGTGAGGGGTGAGCTATTTTGTGTGCAGAATGTGTAAAAAAGGAGGGACTTCGAACAATAATCTAAATGCATATATAGAGGTACCAGACATGTTTTGCACTGCAGTGTCCTCTGTGAACAATTATAGGAAAACAGATTGTGTCTAGTTTCCGATAGATGTCACCGCAAACAACAGCAGTGACATCTGATGGAACATGAATGCAGAAGCTTGACAAAATGATTAATTGTTCACAGAGGACACTGCAGTGCAAAACATGTATGGTACCTCTATATATGCATTTAGATTATTATTCGAAGTCCCTCCTTTTTTACACATTCTGCACACAAAATAGCTCACCCCTCACAGAATTTCCCGCCGAATTTTATGTATGAGGCTGGGCATAAATTATCTTTTGCGCAGAATTTGTAAAAAAGGAGGGATTTCAAATGTTAAAGTAAATGCATATATAGAGGTACCAGACATGTTTTGTAGTGACAGGTACTCTATTTTATAATCTGTGAAAGGGAAATCACAAATCGAGTGTCAACAAAATACATGGCATGTTGAGAGATTGAGGTCGTGAGAGCTAATTTTCTCTCTCAAATTTGAATATTTTGGCTCTCTAGAAACTGGTAGTAGAGCAGGTAAAACTGTATGGGGAAAAATCAATTTTAATTAATTGTAGCTTGTTTAGCAATAGTTTCCGGAAAAAAACTGAACGACACAGTCCCTGATTAATTTCTTTAGGTTGTCGTTCACTTTTTCTCACCTGAATATGCACCGAAAGTGAATTCTTCCCACTTCTCTCAATTTCTATATGGGGATTTTTATCACTTCCTACCAGCGGAGCAGCGCCATCTCTGTGCAAAATGGTCGAACAAAATGATTAATTCAAAAAAATCTTCAAAGTGCCCGCATACCCAGGAAAGGAATTACCAATAACATATGGTTCAATAACACCGACCAGATTTGCGGTAGACATCTATAACGATCGATATACGGTTGAGGAATCAAAGCAAAAGTTTGAGTAAATTGAAATAAGTCAACAATATAACGGCTCACCGATTGTTTTCACTGTTTACCTCCAACACTACACTGAACTAACGAGAAACGTAAATTTCACCTGAAAAATCAGGTAACCTTTCAAAAATATAAATCCAATAAGAATTACATGCTGCACATAAATATCAATGGCATGGTAATGAATTCCACTAGATTGACTGATGGAGTTCAAGTGTTATACAGATAAATGTTAAGTGAAGTTCACGTAAATTTTAAGTGACCTCATGATTGGGATTTTTAACCTTTGTGAGCGTAAGTTTGATTAATATCAATTTATGAATCCTAATTTTCAATACCCAAAATAAATTGAAGAGTGTAAAATCGGATTGAGCAGTCCTCACAAGCTGAGCAAGCCGAACTACAGCAGTGCTTACAACAAAAAGACGTCTATTGGAGACATGATGTCATTTTCGAAGTCATCGGTTGTTGGAGGAAAATAAATGTAAGGATCAAACTTAATGTTTTAAATAAACCAATAACCAACTTTAGCTTTATTCAGAAGCAGCAATTTTTATAGAGCATTATGGAGCAAACAAATGCAAAACAATCAATTTAACAACGACCAGTGCAACAGGATATAGAATTAAGAATAAGTTTAATACACATGATAGTTACTAAAAAGAACAGTTTAATGTTGATTATAATAAAGTAAAAATTGAACAAATAAGTTAAATTTTATTTAAAAAAAATCCGAATGAAATAATGCAATACCACTGTATTAAAACACATGAAACATACCACAAATTCACATAAATATTACTACAAAATCCAGTGACGATTACTAAACAATTCACGTAACTTTTAAGCGAAGCTAATTAGACGATCATCGGAACGGCCGATAAAATTTACGTGAAAATCACTTGACTTTCATATGAATCACTTGAAACAGCATTTCATTCCCAAAACACGTAATATTCACCTGAAAAACTGATGGAAAATATCTGCGTACCTTTTCAGGTGAATATTACGTGAATTTTATTTGCAGTGTAGCTCAGTCTAGGTTGCCTAGCAGCTCTCCCGAGCAAAGTCGGTTAACAAAATGAAAGCAAATCGATATTAAAGTGTGCAGTTCCTATCATAATGAAAACTCATTTTGATTTCAAATGTTGCGACATAAGTCTGATATCATATTGTGCTTTCATTATGCAGTCAAAACTTTTTATATGAAAGCAACTTAACTTGAAGTTCTGCTGTTTACTTCTTGTTTAAAATTTAATTGATATTTATCTGTCGTTGAACTAATGATTATTGTTTATTTGATTTGTTTAACACATTTTAGGTCATTCGTGACTTGCCCGGGGTAAGATTGGAGCCGAAGTCTTTCAGCTTGAGAAACATGTGTTGTGCGGTAGCAGATGAATCGTGATTTCGTGAATTTATTGGGTGGTTAATAAAGAATTACAAAATCCTGCAATTTAACTTATTTATAAATGTCTATCATTGAATCTCATCGTAAAGTAACTTACTTGTTGTGATTCTCTACTGCTTGGTTGTCCACAACAACTTTACCGTCCGATCTATGTCCTACTTCTGATTAGGTTTTTACTTTAGTCCATTATTAGCTCTAAATTTTAGTTTAAGTTCGATTCTCACCTTCACTGCTCGCTTATATAGTAGTTTTAAAAACCTTTCTCCTTCTTTTCCGTCGACCGTATCGCACTCGCACTATCATTAATAAATTTTTAGATTAAATTTTTAATTAAGTTTTAGATAGACTAATTTTGTGGTTATACCTGTAGTTTAAGAGTTCAATTAGAGTAAATTTAGTTCTTAATAATTGTTTTGTATGCCAAGATGAGCCAGACGAAACTTTGAACAAAAGCATTTGTTGTTTATCTGCCGTAACCTTCCTATTGTCCCGTATTCCAACAATCCTCTGTTCGAACGATGGGTGTGGATGGATTCGGCTGTCTACGTCGACCGTTCGGGGAGCGTGGGGTTTGACGAGCTCGTCAAAGTAGCGCAACCAACACTCCCCCCCGGAATGGGCTTCTGGTCGTCCTGATGCGCATTGCTTTCAACGCCTACGTCGAGCACGGCAAGCTTCACAGTTGGTCGCTCGTAGATGCCACCAGAAGTCTGCACAGTAGCACTTCGCACCTGCCCGTCCGATCCCTGCTTGATCCCAATAACTCGGCCTTTGGGCCAGGTGTTCCGAGGAAGTTTCGGGTCCACGATGACGACGATATCGTTGACTCTGATGGGTTTCACCTCCATAAACCATTTCGTGCGACGAGTGATGGAAGGAAGATAGTCGTGTAGCCATTGTTTCCAGAATTGATTGGCTAAGGTTTGAGAAAGCTCCCAGCAGTTTTTGAGCACTTCTGAGCTGTCGTCAAACGGTCCCCAAGGTTTTAATCCGTTGCTTGATCCCAGCAAAAAATGATTGGGCGTTAGCACCGGTGACTGGTCATCATCGAGAGGAATACTGGTTAATGGGCGAGAATTCACAATATTCTCTACCTCTGCAAGCATGTTTTCGAGGACTTCATGGGACAGCGTTCTGTTGGGTTTCAGTTTGGCAAGGTTCTGTTTGACGGTTCGAACGAGTCGTTCCCACGCTCCTCCCATATGCGGCGAAGCGGGAGGAATGAAGCTCCAGGTAGTATGTGAAGTGGTGAACTCCGCTGCAAGACGCTCTCGATCCAAATTCACCATAACTTCTTCGAGTTCCCTACTAGCTCCCTGGAAGTTCGTACCTCTATCACTATATATGACTGCAGGTACACCCCTCCTAGCCATGACGTTTCGTAGTGCCATAATACAAGAATCGGTAGTCATTGACTGAACGATTTGCAAGTGGATGGCGCGAGTGGTAAGACAAGTGGCGAGAAGTACCCAACGCTTCTCGAGACGACGCCCAAGGATGATCACAATTGGACCAAAGTAGTCCACCCCCATATAAGTAAACGGACGAGCATAGGCAGCTAGGCGAGGTAGTGGCAAGTCGCTCATAGCCGGTGGTTGCGGTCGTGCACGGTCGTTCTTGCATTGCTGACAGCATTGACGGATCCTGTTGTAGGCAGCCTTCAGACGAGGGATGCTGTATCGCTGCCGCAGCTCGTTGATAACTGTGTTATGGTTTTGATGATGATATTTGCTGTGGTAGTGGGATATGACGAGACGGGTGATGTGGTGGTCTCGTGGAAGAATAACAGGATTCACCGCATCCTGATTAACAAACGGACAACTGATGGTTCTACCACGAACGCGGAGTACATCATGTTCGTCTAGAAACGGACAAAGATGATAGATTGAACTGTTCTTCGGTATCGTTAATGTGAAGTTTTCCGACGCTCGTATGCCCGATAGTACTGCTACCTCATCTGGGTAAGAACTTCCCTGAGCAAGCCGGTACAAATAGTTTTCAGCCGTAGCTAGCTCTGAACTCGTCAACACTCCAATAGTTCTTTCTTCGGGTCTGGATGTCCTCAAGTTCCCGATGAATCGAAACACGTATGCAGTTCGATGGACAAGTGGAGTCCATTTAGAGCAGTTTTGGAGGTCAATGATTGGCTCCGGTAATTTGACGTGAACGAGCAAATGTGGGCGCAGTTCCTCCGTAGTAGGTCCTTCGATGTGTAGTTCCACAGGCCATTCTCCTTCAATGTTCTTGAGAAATTCCGGTCCGTTAAACCATCGGCTAGTTCTAGTCATGTCAGGCACCCGTTTCCACTTCGTGCCATCATCAGCAACGTTCTTTTTAGTTTGGATCCATTGCCACTCGTAAACTTCCGAAGCTTCTAGTATCTCACTCACTCGGAAAGCAACAAATTGGCTATACCGACGATGATCGGATTTGAGCCAGCTGATGACGTCACTGGAATCCGTCCAGAAGTAGCGTCTATTCACCTTGATAGACAGTGACTGTGCTATGCTGTTCGCAAACCTGACTCCGATAACGCAAGCTTGAAGCTCCGAGCGCGGAATCGACAGAAATTTGATTGGTGCAACACGAGTCTTCGATCCAACCAGCGCAGTTTCGATGATGGGCCCCTCCTTGAATCGCAGATACACCACCGCCGCGAAACCCTTCTCGCTAGCATCGACGAAGATGTGCATTTGTACTTCGTTGGAACCTCCAACAGATGTAGCCGTCCTGTAGCACCGCGGGATTTCTACCTTTGCCACTTCAGGAAGGACCTTCAGCCATTGCATCCACATCTCAAACTGTTTTTCTTCGATCGGGTCATCCCATCCGACGGATGTTCTCCAAATTTCCTGCAGTACCACCTTCAGGAACATCAAGAAGTGGCCAATGAGTCCTAAAGGATCGAAGATCATCATCAAGGTTCTGAGCACTTCGCGCTTCGTTGGTGTCCGCTGCCCCGACATTAGCTCAGGATCGTACCGTGGAGAAACCTTGAAGGTGAAACAATCAGTGGACGTATTCCACCACATTCCGAGCACTTTCTCGGTTATCACTCCTTCTGCCATATTAAGGTCCTTCTCTTCCGTATTTCGTTCATGTAACGCCTCCAAAACATCCGGGCTATTTGAGATCCAGTTCCTCATTTCAAAGCCGGCTTCATGGTGAATTTTCTTTACATCCCGTGCGAGGTCCACTGCTTCTTGCTCGCTTTCCACGCTTACAAGCATGTCATCTACGTAATGCTGGTCGACGATAGCTTGAACAGCGGTGGGATGGTCCTTCTCAAACCGTTGGGCGTTGGTGTTTTTGACGTACTGCGCAATGCTTGGAGCACACGACACTCCGAACGGTAACACCAACATGATGTACACCTTAGGATCCGCGTTGCCTTCATCGCCCTTCCAGAAGAAGCACAGTCGAATATCTTGCCTCAGTAGAACTTGCAGATACATCTCCCGGATATCCCCGCAAATTGCGATCCGGAATTCACGAAACTGGACGAGAACTGCAAGTAGCGACGTCAAAAGGTCAGGGCCTTTGAGTAACAGCGAATTGAGTGAAACGCCATAAGCAGGAGCAGCTGCGTCCCAGACTAGCCGTACCTTACCCGGTTTGTTGGGGTTCACAACAGGGAACACGGGTAAGTACCATTCCTTAGACTGATGCATATTGAGTTCATCATCCGACAACTTCCGAACGTAGCGTTTATCCACGTATTCATCCATCTTCGTCGTCACGGTTTTTGCAAACTCCTCATCCCGCTTCATGCGCCGGTCTAAACACTGCCATCTTCTGTAAGCCATTCCTTTGCTACTTGGAAAGCGAACATCATCGTACTTCCAGAGGAGTCCCGTTTCGTACCGCCCTTCTTTTGGGATTGTCAGCTTTTCGAGCATTTCCAAGGCACGTTGTTCTTCCGTTGACCGCAAAATCTTTTCTGGTTTTGCCACTCCAAGGCTATCTAGAGTGAAGTAGTTCTTCATTGCGGTGTGCAGGTTATCGTCGGAATCAAGATTGCACTCACATACTTTAATCGTATGGACATTCACGTAGTTTTGGTTTCGCTGTGTTCGTGAACAACTCCCGTAGATTATCCATCCCAAGCGTGTTTTGACGGCGATAGGTTCGTATGGCTTTCCTTCTCGACTTTTCATAGCATGCCCAAGCGACGCATGGTCAAGCCCAATCAGGATTCGAGGGCATACGTTACTGTAGGATTCGACAGGTAGTCCACCGAGGTGTTGATACCGTTGCAGTAACTCAGAATACACTAACGTTTGCGGCCGAAGTTGTAGGTTCTGAATCGTATGTACGTTGGACATCCTGTGCGACTTCGAGGTATTTCCGATGGCTGATATTTCCACATCTACCTTCTGGGATTCATTCTCCACTCTCTTGGTACCACCCGTCCATTTTAAGCACAGCGGTGTTCGAGGCCCCTTTACGCCAAGCTCCTCTGCAAGGCTATCTTCCATCAGTGTCAGCTCTGAACCGTCGTCTATGAACGCGTATGTCTGGATGGATTTTGATGGACCGTGGATTAGCACGGGAACAATCCTGAACAGGACTTCGCTAGTTTGAAGTTGGTGAATATTGCAACTTCCGGTAGCAAAGGTTTGGCCAGAACGTTCCTTTTCAACCTCCTGGTGGTCATTGTGCAACAACGGATGATGCAAAAAGATGCATCCTTTGATCCCACACGGTTTTTGCTGCCTGCATGATCCATTGTGCTTACGCAGACATTTGCGACACAGCTTTCTCTCTCGTACAACAGCCCACTTTGCAACTAGGCTTAACTCAGCAAATCTTTTGCACTTTGCAACTGACGGACAATGACCTCTGCATGTGATGCATTCTGTCATTGGCGCTGATGATGATCCGTGGATACCCCGAGTCTTTGAAGCTGCTGATCGGGACAGTTCTGATTCTGCTTCAGAGTGGACATTGATAAATCCATCATTCTTTGCTCCACGAATTCTTTGCGTGCTGAACGAAGTTTGCATAACTGAACTAGCATCTTCCGCGATCGAGTACAGCCAATAACTGAAATCAAGCAGATTTGGTGCTGCATTATTTCTGGAATACTTCGCCCAATCCAGCTTCAGCCCAGGAGGAAGACGATCCACTAGCTCACATTTCAAAGACGCATTGTATACGAAATCTTCGACGCCGCATGCCTCTATCGTAGCTACCAGGTTTTCGACCGTCAATGCAAAATTGACAAGAGTGTCGAGTTTTTCCACTTGTGGCGATGGTAATGACCGAATCTTCCTAACTGATGCCTGAACGATTGCTTCTGGTCTTCCATATAGCATTTTCAACGTAGAAATTACACCGATAACGTTGGATGGGTGGAGTAGCCGGCATCGTACAGCATCTAGAGCCTTGCCCTTCAAGCATTTTCGAAGCCGAAGCATGTTTTCTTCGTTGGAGAAGCCACACATCTTCGTTGAAGAGTTGTACATGGAGAAGAACAGCGGCCAATCTTCAGGATTTCCGTAAAACTCCGGTAACTCCTTGGATACAGCCTGACGTGCTGCTAACTGGCTTCGGTTGAGGATGCACACGTTCTCTTCGACATTGCGAGCAGCTGGTTCCGGATTTCCGAAACCTCGGGATGTTGAATCTCCTTGAAGCATTTCATTCCTTGACCCTGAAGGTTGACGATACTGGCTTTCCGGGACGATTGTTGGTTCTGGCCAGAAGTGTTCATTTGGTGCAGCAGGTGGCGGCCGAATGCCCTGAACTCCTGGAGCTGGAGCCACTCGAGGGACTTGCGAATGATGGAACTGGATTCCTGGAGCTGGAGCAGGCCGAAGATCCTGTGGCAGGTAGTTATGTGTTTCTAAAGCTGCAGCTGACCGAAGTACTTGTGGTCGGTAGAACTGGTCTTCTGGAAGCGTGTGCGAAGGCGACCTTCGGAGCAGGCCTTCTGGAACAGGTGCCGGTGGTCGACGGAACTGGACTTCTGGAGCTATGGCTGATGGTTGACGGAACTGGACTCCTGGAGCTGTGGCTGGTGGTTGACGGAACAGGACTCCTGGAGCTGTAGCTGATGGTTGACGGAACAGGACTCCTGGAGCTGTAGCTGATGGTTGACGGAACTGGACTCCTGGAGCTGTGGCTGGTGGTTGACGGAACAGGACTCCTGGAGCTGTGGCTGGTGGTTGACGGAACTGGGTATCTGGAACAACAGGCTGACGAAATGGCTCCTCTGGAACTGGTGCCGGTGGTCGGCGGAACAGGGATCGGTGCTGGAACGGAAGGTTGCATTACACGGCTCCTCAACCTCGGATCCATACGAACGGTCTCTTGAGGTGTTGAACGTTGGTTAGGAACGAAACCATGTAGAGATGATTGCGGTTCCGTCTGCCCCATAGTCGGTGCCAGCTGAATGACAGCTTGCAGTTGATCATCGTTCAACTCTTCTTCCACCAGACCGGAATCAGAATCTTCACCACACTTTTCCGTATCTCTCAGCCATCCTCTCACTTTGGACATCTCCTCGGATCCTACATCATCATCACTGGCGACAGTTTCATCGTCAGCGTCCTCTTCATCCAAAATGCGGTATTTTTCATCCAAAAACTTTTGTTCCAACTGCTTGTGCTCTTCCAGCTTCTGCAATAGTCGATCGACCTTCCGTTGATTGCTCCGGTTACTGCTTGCCTTTCCGGTGGACTTCTTTGAACTTACAGAGTTGGGTGGGTCTACCGGTTGAATCTGCTGGAGCATTGGTGTCTGCTGCTCTTGATGACTTGCGCCGAAATGCATGTATGGACACTTTGGACAAATCCAGCTGTAGTCCGCTATGCCACTAGTCACTTGTACACAAGAGAAATGATACCACTTATCGCAACCATCACACTGCACCATTCTACTAGTATCACGTTCACTACACAACTCGCAATGACTGTACCGAGTTATATGAACGCGTTGGTTCAGATCAAGTCGCGCGTTGGGTCTCGCGTTAACGACAATATTTGACGACCGGACGGGATTGACTTTAGTATTAGCACTAGCCTTTATTTTGGGTATGGATCCCTTTACATGGGCCTGTCTGGTATTGGCAACGTCAAGATTTACCTGAGGACTAGGAGGGGGAGGAACTACTTTTACCACAGCTGCATCGCTCTTTGCGCCTGTTGCCGATTTCATCGAGTCCTTCGCTCCGCGTTTCGCGTTGGTCACGATAGTGAGACTGTTGATCCCGGCAACTACATCTGCATCGGTTATTGGAGTTCTCGTGTCCTTGTCTGCTGCGCTACCCACATCGCCTGTACCGAAAAGTTGGCTTACCGCACCCAAGGCAGAACTCAATTCCGACCTGGATCTGGTTGACGATTTGCGAGACATCCTCGACGTGCAAACAAGATTTTGTAAGATGTTGTGCGGTAGCAGATGAATCGTGATTTCGTGAATTTATTGGGTGGTTAATAAAGAATTACAAAATCCTGCAATTTAACTTATTTATAAATGTCTATCATTGAATCTCATCGTAAAGTAACTTACTTGTTGTGATTCTCTACTGCTTGGTTGTCCACAACAACTTTACCGTCCGATCTATGTCCTACTTCTGATTAGGTTTTTACTTTAGTCCATTATTAGCTCTAAATTTTAGTTTAAGTTCGATTCTCACCTTCACTGCTCGCTTATATAGTAGTTTTAAAAACCTTTCTCCTTCTTTTCCGTCGACCGTATCGCACTCGCACTATCATTAATAAATTTTTAGATTAAATTTTTAATTAAGTTTTAGATAGACTAATTTTGTGGTTATACCTGTAGTTTAAGAGTTCAATTAGAGTAAATTTAGTTCTTAATAATTGTTTTGTATGCCAAGATGAGCCAGACGAAACTTTGAACAAAAGCATTTGTTGTTTATCTGCCGTAACCTTCCTATTGTCCCGTATTCCAACAATCCTCTGTTCGAACGATGGGTGTGGATGGATTCGGCTGTCTACGTCGACCGTTCGGGGAGCGTGGGGTTTGACGAGCTCGTCAAAGTAGCGCAACCAACAACATGAATGGTAACCATTTACTCCAGGCCCGTATTCAGTTAAACATTATGAATGCAAAATCAGTAATCAAATTGATTTCATTGAAAGCAGGATTAGTTTTCCGTTTGCATCAACAGTGTAAAATTTTGCTCTCATTTTTGCTGTGTTAACCGTTAAGTCAACCAAAATGAGATCAACTGGAGTATTCAAAATAAGTTACATCACAACAGCAAATTTTGATTTCAATTTGATCTTCAGCTTTGCTCGGGTAGTGTGCTCCCTTTTTCTCACCAGTTTGCTTTTTTTTTTTCTTACTCCTAGAATTTTGTTTTACCACCAGTCTTGTAAGCAGTCACGGTAGTCGACACATTTTCTGTGATAATAGACTGCCTTTGCTTCCGACACATGCAAAACAAGCTATAAAATTACAGTAGAAAACTAAAATGTCATATGACAGGCTCTGTCATACGACACTGTCACATAAGACCGTCACGAATGTATGTATTTCAGTTTTTGCTCATAATAAGAGCTGCTGATGTTGTGCTTGCGTGAATATAGCCAACAACGATGTTCTAGTAATAACATTTCTTATCAGAAATGCTTTAATTTACACCAAATCGAGGAATTAGAACAAAATCACACATGTCATATGATAGTTATTTGATAATTTTCTCGAATGTTGTTCTACCGTTTGCGCTGTGTAAGATAGACGACGGTAGAGAGCATAAATACAAACAGACTGTCACGCACGACAATGAAGCGAGTGTAGTAAAGCCGGCGCTGATGGTGTAGTGGTAAGCGTGACTGCTTTCTAACACCCCGATGGGTCTGGGTTCAATCCCAGCCGAGGTCGGTGGGATTTTTCTGAGGCATAAAAATCTCTGGTCACGTCTTCCTTCGGAAGGGAAGTAAAGCCGTTGGTCCCGGCCCATGTGTGTTGAATGGGTGCGATATCCTACGCAGGTGTGGAAGCTGCCTTCCTGCACATTCGATTGCCGTCAATGGATGGCAATCGATGTCCGTCGGTGATTGGCACTAGATTGCGGAACAGAGACCGACGTTAAATAAAGGAAAGAAGAAGAAGAAGAAGAAGAGTGTAGTAAAAAACGTAAACAGTTTCAACCCCTGTTCACTACGATACTCTCACAACGATGGCGCTCTGCAACACTCATTCTTTACGAAAATATTCTCAATTGCAGATCACAAGCACTCAATACGGACTACCATGCACCTTCGTGTAATCGATCTGCTCGCCAACCGTTTGCTGGATATTACACAATTAAACTGCTTGAAAGCCTCACAATCAGCACTCTTGCCTATAGCTCAGCTGGTACTTTACAGACAAAGGGAAATCACTTATTGCTTTTCTTTCCGTTTCGTAGCATTTTTTTACCATTCACTACCGTAAGAATGATTCCGGCACTTCCAATTCCCGCGGTAACCTATCCAAAGATCAGTTGTTCTTTATTTTCTTTATTTAACGTGGGAATAGCCTTTTGTCTCAACTATAATAAGTTGCTACTGCTTCAATCCCCCACTGCAGATGTATTGGGATAGGTTCCGGAATCCCTAGGAATCAATACTCAAATCAATTTTTTTGACGTAGAACTACGTCTTTGTCGACTATACTGGGGTGCAAATCAAAAAATATGTGTGGTGAAGGAGTGTTAGGTTTTGAACGCTTGTAACTTTGTCATTTATAGATGAAATTAAAATCCAAATACGCCAATCGATAGGATATTACATTACGAACCTGTTGAAATAAATATTTTTCCAATTTTTCTGTAATTAAACTATTGAAAATGTACAAATGATAATTTTATCACTGATTTCATGAAATAAACCTTTTTCCCAAACCCAGTCATCATAAACGAATACCACTTGGTTGCACATCATTCTGCTTGAACCTGAAAAGATATAAATCAGCGCTGCTCTCATGCTTCTGCTCATTACCGCTTCGGACGGCGTAGCACTAGGTCCTGCATCAAGCAGGACTCGGTCAGCGGCTAAAGGTGGATCACGGCGTGTCCACCACAATGAGGGATGAGACTTGAAAAAACGTGCATGTTATACCCCCTCCCGCTTAACAACCCCCTCAACAATAACCCGAAAAAGACATGGAGTTTGACGATCATTTTCGGGAAATAAATTTTAAGCAAACTCTAATAATGTATAAACAATTAATTTTTTACATGCAGAGTCAACATTTTCAAAAAAAATATTGCTTAATAGGAGACATACACTCGATGAATTACCAACAACTGACTGTAAAACATATCTGGTGCCTCTATATATGCAATTATATTAACATCCAAAGTCCATCCTATTTTACATATTCTGCACAAAATAAACTTTCTGCTCCGCCCCATTCATAAAAAACTGCGGGAAATCCTATCAGGTTCTGAACCGGAAAAGATATAAAACAGCGCTACTGTCATGCTTTTGCTCATTGTCGCTTCGGACGGCGTGGCACTTGGTCCTGCAGTAAGCAGGACCAAATCAGCGACTAAAGGTGGATCACGGCGTGACCACAATAATGATGTAAACCCCCTCCCCCTTTCACAACAACCTCTCCCCCTCCCCCTTCACAACAATCTCCCCACCCCTCAACAACCTCTCCTAACCAATTATCAATGACAATTATCCACGGCCCATACAAATTTTAAAATTTTTATATGGACAATTGTCTACGCATGGGGGGGGTGGTCAAGCATACCGAAAAGCTGTCTACGTAGTTAGTGAACAGCCCCTAAAATAACACTGTTATCAAATAAAAAGCAGCTCACGCGACCACCAACGATCGACCAAAACAATCTGTGGGCAGTGTTGCGATATATCGTTAAAAAAAAGTTGATGCATTGTCCAATACTCATATTGTTCGTTTAACTCGTATAACTTAAATTATGCACTCATAATGCTTAAAAACAAACAAATAATGTTGAAAACATAAATGACCTATGTAACTGTGATTATAACAAAACGTCCTATATAACATGTCCAATGTACACCTGACAAGAGCAAAATGTCCTATGTAACATTTTTCACGTGTTCATAGAAAAAAAAATGTATGAAATGGGTAGATTATAATTTCAATTTCAATTTTATTATCGCATTTTACTATTAAAGGTCTTAAAAATGTCAAAAGTTGATTTGGTTTCAAATAGTATCAAAAAAGATTTTGTCAATCTTCAACCTCGTTTTTCTCGAAAAGAGTGAAATGTTAGATAGGACCTTTTGAAAAGTTAGGCGAGATTTCATCTCTACCAAAGGGGCAGCAAAACCACAAAATTACCTTGAATACGGGGGGTATTCATTGGATGAAAGGGACGGTGAAAGAGGATACTAAAATAGAAAGTTTTTCTTCCGACAGTTTCATCTTATTATTCATCTTTGTGTGTACTTCTGAGTGGATTCTGTTTATATGTGGTCAAATGAAAATCATGTGGAATTTCACATGGATATTTGTCAAGAAAAATGTGTAAATTGTTTTGAGTCAACCATAACCGAAACATTGAAATACTTGAAAATTTTAAGATAAAGTATAATAGTCAGAAATGCATGAAAAACATCAATTTTGTGTGGTTCTACGTCATACTGCGGTCGTGTCTAGGACACAACCCTTTAATTTTTTGTTTTCGTCATGAGCTTCAAACTGAAAATTGAAAATTAAATACCAATACAATAACGGCGTATAGACAACACTACAAGTTACTTAGGAATGATGCGTGATCCGATTCAATCGTCTCATGTTGTTTTCGATTACGAAACCGGCGAGAAACTGGGATGATACTCCCGTACGAAGGTACTTAAGGCCCACGCACATTTGATCCACATCTCACACGTTGCCTGTGACAAGTGACAAGTGACAAGTGACAGCTA